GGAAGCCTGCTGGGGGGAGGGCAGTAGCTGTGAGTAGGGGCATGTCTCCACTAGGACATTATTTCGAAATAAATAAATTTGAAGTAACTCCTGAAATAAGAAAATCGAAATAGATGTTATTCCCTGAGGAAAGCAAGAGTACAAATTTCAAAATAGCCAGCCCGTTATTTCAAAATAACGGGCTTGGTAGTGTGGACGCTCTGCTTGATATTTTGAAATAACTCCTTAGTGTAGTCCAGGGCTGGATTTCCTATTCTGTGAGCTACTGCTGATTTCTCTATTTTCTTAATGATTACACCCAGGGGTACTCAATTATTTTTTGTCACAGTCCAAATTTCTTGGACAAGGAGGTATTGTCAAGGCCAGACATCGGATTAAAAACCACAAACCCAACAAGACTGATAATGTTAAGTAAATAAAAAGATGTCACAGTCTGTTCATAAGCATCTTGTGGTCTGGGATTAGCCCACGGTCCACCTATTGACTACCCCTGCGAAGCACTTTGTTAATGTACTGTCATAACAATGCTGTACAGACCAATGTGTTATTCAAGAGGAATGAACCAATGAATTGGTAAATGTTTTAATAGATGTGACTAATAAGGATGGGATGGAACCAGCCAGCTCTTTGGCCTCCAAACCAGAATTATTGTTGAAAATCAAAGACTTCTTCAACTTGATAACTAGCTAAGAATGAGTATAGTGTGCTGAATATATTTGCATTGGTAACGTGGGCTGAGCATTACCGGAGCCTGGCCTCTTTGCCCCGTCTTGTTTTTACTCAACTGTACCAGCATTAATAAGAACCTTTGAAATTGTAAGGAGCGGGGAAAGTCTATACTGAACTGATGTGGCTTCCCACGTGATTGTTTGTTTGACGGGTGCCTATTTTGTAATGCTGTGCTCTGTCTTGTACAAGGCGGGATAAGACTAAACCTTTTCTTTTTCTTTTCTTTTAAAGCAACATTTGATTCAAAGCTTTTAAAAAATAATTTCTCTTGCTCATAAGAAGGGTGTGATCTTGCACCTGTTAGAGTAATAGGAAATGTTGCCTTCATTAGGAGCTGTACGACTGGGATTTGTTTAAAAACTGCTTTCCATCCATGCAACTTTAAAAAATATATACAGGCAGTCCCCGGGTTACGCACAAGATAGGGACTGTAGGTTTGTTCTTAAGTTGAATCTGTATGTAAGTCAGAACTGGCGTCAGCCACTGCTGAAACTGATCAGTTTCAAACACGGCTGAATCTGGACTGAATTTACCAGTTCTGACTTACATACAGATTCAACTTAAGAACAAACCTACAGTCCCTATCTTGTGCGTAACCCGGGGACTGCCTGTATATATTTTTTAAAGTTGCATGGATGGAAAGCAGTTTTTAAACAAATCCCAGTCGTACAGCTCCTAATGAAGGCAACATTTCCTATTACTCTAACAGGTGCAAGATCACACCCTTCTTATGAGCAAGAGAAATTATTTTTTAAAAGCTTTGAATCAAATGTTGCTTTAAAAGAAAAGAAAAAGAAAAGGTTTAGTCTTATCCCGCCTTGTACAAGACAGAGCACAGCATTACAAAATAGGCACCCGTCAAACAAACAATCACGTGGGAAGCCACATCAGTTCAGTATAGACTTTCCCCGCTCCTTACAATTTCAAAGGTTCTTATTAATGCTGGTACAGTTGAGTAAAAACAAGACGGGGCAAAGAGGCCAGGCTCCGGTAATGCTCAGCCCACGTTACCAATGCAAATATATTCAGCACACTATACTCATTCTTAGCTAGTTATCAAGTTGAAGAAGTCTTTGATTTTCAACAATAATTCTGGTTTGGAGGCCAAAGAGCTGGCTGGTTCCATCCCATCCTTATTAGTCACATCTATTAAAACATTTACCAATTCATTGGTTCATTCCTCTTGAATAACACATTGGTCTGTACAGCATTGTTATGACAGTACATTAACAAAGTGCTTCGCAGGGGTAGTCAATAGGTGGACCGTGGGCTAATCCCAGACCACAAGATGCTTATGAACAGACTGTGACATCTTTTTATTTACTTAACATTATCAGTCTTGTTGGGTTTGTGGTTTTTAATCCGATGTCTGGCCTTGACAATACCTCCTTGTCCAAGAAATTTGGACTGTGACAAAAAATAATTGAGTACCCCTGGGTGTAATCATTAAGAAAATAGAGAAATCAGCAGTAGCTCACAGAATAGGAAATCCAGCCCTGGACTACACTAAGGAGTTATTTCAAAATATCAAGCAGAGCGTCCACATCCCCCCCAGCAGACCAGGGAGATGCGGAGCAGCTTTTCTCGCCCCGGAGAACGCGGGCGGCGGGACTGCGGCGCATCTGGGCATCCCGCCGCTCCCGTCCTCCGGGGCGAGAAAAGCCCCGTTCGTAACTGCGGATCCGCGTAACTCGGGGACTGCCTGTAGATTGTCCTTCAGCATCACAAAAGGGTAAAGTATCAAAAGGCAGATGGGGCTCTAATTTAATGAGCCTCCAACAAACCCAAAGTGATCAGCAGCACAGTATCCAGCTGCTGATACTGCCCATGTAGGTCTATGCTCTCTCCCATTTACCTGCCCAGGAGCTGAAGTGTGGGCGTTCACTGAAAAGGGATTTTAATCTGCATCTGAACAAGCATGGGCGCCAGATATCCCGGGCATGGGTAAACTCTTCCTTCCCAAACTGCCTGACATGTCTCCGGTGATGCACCACCTACAGGCCAGGCCCCCTCCTACCTGCTGTTTCCATGTCCCTGGGGCAGGCCAGCTGGCTGCACCACCTGCCCAGAACTGTGGCTGGCACCTTGGTGAGGAAGAGGAATGCCAGCTGGGGGCAGTGCAGCATGCGGAGACTGAGGCTGTGCTGCTCGTCTCTCCAGAGCCAGGGGAAGGGGCTGGGGGCGCTTGGGTCAGCAGCCAGTGGCCACAGTGGGAGGAGGGGCTGGGGGCACCGGGCAGGGGCCAGCAGCTTCATTGGGGACTGGGCTCTGGTGAGCATGGAAGGCGTGGGGCTGGAGAGACTAGACTCCCCAAGCCAGGAGTCACCCACTGCCCATGTGAAGAAGAGGCTTGTTAAGGCTTTGCCTATGCTGACTGGACTCTAATCAGTAGGATCTCTGCTCCCTGCTGCCAATCAGCTTAACTCTAAGTCAGTTTCCTCTCTTTTTCTGTTGTCACTGGCCTCCAACTATGGGCAAAGCCTTATAGATTAACTTGTGCCAGCTGCCACCAGCTACAAGGGGAGGCTTGAACTGGCTCTTCCTCAGCCATGCTGCCTCCACTAGCAGCAGGGAGAGAGAGGAACTGCTGCACCTGCTTTCTGCCTCTGTCTGCAGGGCCCCTCTAAACTATAGCTCCAAACATCCTAGGATCTAGGCCAGTTGTCTCCAACCTTTTTAAGAACAAGATCACTTTTTGAATTTAAGCCAATCCAGGATCTACCTCAAACCCCAAAACCCTTGCCTTGTCACTTTCCCTGTGGCCCTGCACCTACACCTCCCCCTCTCCGAGGCCCCACCCTGCCCACTCTGTGGAGATGGGAGACATGGAAAGAGGGAGGGGAACACCCTGACATCAGCACCTTCTTCCACCCTGCACAGTTAGCAGGGAGTTTCTGGGGACAGGAGCAGCACAGCAGGGGGAGGGAGAAGAGGCAGCTGAAGACAGTCTCCTAGCCAAACCAATCAGGATCACCTGTCAAGGCTCTAGGATCTACCAGTAGACAGAGCATTATGTGCATTGTTTCTAAAAAGAATTTCAATGCTAATCTCTAAATGGGATGATTTTTCAATGCACTGTTAGAAATTAGTCTTGTCTACATGTGGATATCCAGGAAGGTTAATCCAAATTAAATGAAGGTGTGAATTTGAGGTGGATTTGTTAAATGCATTACACCTTGTGCCAACGCCTTCAGAATTAAAGTGGCCTTAATTTGGTTTATCTTCATTCACTCTTGAATTAAGATAATTCTGAATGACCATGTTCACACAAGGGCTTAATGTGGTTCACATACCTTAAGTTAATTCCCAGAGGTCCCTATATAGACAAAACCAAAAAGTGACCAGGACAACATCTACACCAAGGCTACTCAACTTTGGAAGCCCTGGGGGCCACAATGATACTCACAGTACATGCCGAGGGCTGCAACTTAAGTGTGGTTGTATCTACATGCAAAGAGATTCTTTCACACTGATGGGCATGAATACAAAGCACTTACCACAATGCCCCGGTGCTCCCGGCACCTCCTCCTTGAGGGCTAGAAATGCCGACGCCCTGTACCCGTCTGTTCCAGCTAGCAGTCTACTTGTGTTTTTTCAGTGCTCACTCCGCCTGGGAGATGCCTCACTGTTGTGGAGCATGTTCCCAGTGGAGGCCATGTTCAAAAGGATCCCACCCGCGAACTGCATGTTGAGCCCTGCATAAACCCAAACTGCACTGCTGATCCCAAACAGGCTGTGGGCTGCATGGGGCCTGTATGTTGAGTAGCCCTAATCCTCACTGTAATAAAATTCCCACAGAACTAAGTCTCAGTACTAAAGCATATACACAAAATTAATGTGTTTTATGATCTGTCCAAAATAGGGATGGTTTTCTGAATGTGGGCCTTAATCAGATATATAAATCCCATTGGCTTGGGGGAGGAGAATGGAGAGGGAGGAAACAAAAGCATTCCACGCAACTTTTAACTGGGCTCCTGTCTATCACTGATCTGTCCACTTTGCTTGTATAATATCTGTCTCTCTCCCCCCTGCTTCCCCAACTCAACCCCTAGCTCTGTCTTTGTGGTTTTAGACTATGCACTTAGCATATTTTAGACACTTTTGCAATTGAAAAATAAAGAGAAGTTCCCCCAGCATTTGTTCTATGTACCCATTCACTTCCAAGTACTTTCATTTCCTTAATGAAGAGTTAAGAGTCTAAAGCCCAGAGTTTTGCTGTGATGTGACTTTTCATAGGAAACCTTAGTGAATACTCACTGAAAAGCTACAGTTCATAATTTATTTTTAAAAAGTTAAAAAATACAACCAATACATAAACACATATTTACAATTACTATACTTGAATTTTGATTCTAGTATCAAACTGGATATAATTTTACCTTAAACACAGATATCAGGTTCTTCTGTAAAGAGAGATTCCTATAAAGTTTTTTAAATTACAAATAACAAACCCTTCTAAAATTTGATCCTACTTAATGCACTGTTTTACAACAAGACTGGAATGTGTTCTTTCCATACAGTACATATTTAACCTGACTGCACAGTATGATATTTGAGTCTGGGTCACTGAATTACAATCTCTTCTGTCTGCTAACTAAGAGGATTTGCTTCCACCAATAAAGAGAGTGCCAAATTCAGTATTGAAAACATCATCAGGAATTGTATCATCCATGAATTCATCTCCAAGCTTCTTCCACCATGGCCAGCGAGCATATTTCAGCATGGTATTGTGAGATTGTCTGGCTTTGCATGCCACAGGGACGGATCGACTCATAAAGACATCAAGATCTTTTTCTGTGGCTTCTGTGAGACTTGGAGCAGCTGTAATGAAGAGAGACACTGTTTGTAATTCTATCTGTGGAAAGGGAAATGCTCGTCTATGTCATTAATTTTGGATATGTGCTCCTTGATGCAAATGTTGACCTCTACTGCAATGCTTTCAGCACACCTCAACACCTGCATCATCTCTTCCTATTGGTCTGCACCACAAACAATCTCTGCATCCAACAGTTGCTGGTTTCCCTGCTTGTCCTAGCCTGTAGTTACACAGAAGGAAGCAGAGCTAACAAAAATGTTCAAGAACGTATTAAATTTTGTTCTGCCTGGGTACTAACTATGCTAATCTAACCCTTTGATCCCAGATTGTCCTACTGGGGCCCAGTAGAACAGACAAGAAAAATCCTACTTGTTCTCATTCAGATGAACCTACCCTCTCCCGCCCCAGAATGGTTCTAGTTCAAAGTTATAAGCCTTTAAAGCTGCTCACCAGTAGGGATAGAGATGCTTCCACAATCAGTCCATTTTTGACAAACAGAATAACTAAAGACAAAGTCATCCCCAGTGCTGCAAGGAAGACGACTGTGCAAAGATCCTGATCCTTACTGACTAAAAAGCCACAGAGATGGTTCTGTAAAAAGTCTGTCATAAAATAACAAAATAAAGCCTTATTGCTCCACTCAAGCTCATCTGAGGAGGTGTGTTTTACCCACAAAAGCTCATGGTCCTATATTCTCTGGATTGCTTTGGAATGCATTCAGCAAAGCAGTGGGAAGGGGAAGGCTGGCACAAATAGATCTTCATCTTGCAATGAGAGCGTGGACCGACCTCAGCTAAGGTGCCATGGTATTACTCGTTATTACAAATATGTCAACATCAACATTATGAACAGAATGATAGGGCATGTCAATGTACTTAACCTCTAGAGACATCTAAAAATATAGTAGCATCTACTATTGTATAAAAAGGAGATCTCACAGTTTTGAAATGTGCTTTCACCATTATTTTTGGTAGGATTCTAATTTTTTCTAAATTAGTTTTGTGACTGGCAAATGACGTGTCAGCTTAGACCAAGGCCCCCAGACCTCACCTGAATACTGACAAACATGTATCTATAATCAATCCGGTTCATTTGTGTGTTATTATTGTTAAAATATAAGAACATATTTAGACTTTTTGAATGCTTGTAAGATGCCGTATGCATTAATCCGGGGGTAGTCAACAGGCAGACAGACCATTGGCTAAACCCAGACCTCAAGATCCTTTTGAATAGACACTGAAATATTTCACTCGCCCGCTCGCCCATGGTGAGTAGATTTTACCAGCCGGCGAGTACAAGGGTGGACTGGCCTGGTGGGCCGTTGTGACGGGCTGGCCGAAGCCCACACTACGGGCAGCCGATCCGCCGGCCGGTGGAGGAGCAGAGCACTGCCAGGGAGGCGGAAGGGGGCAATTCTCAGCGAGGAGGCGGGGCCCGAGCCAGAGGGCAGGACGCCGGCAGACACCAGGATGCTGGCGTGACGTGGCATCCTGACGTCACGGCTGGTGACCACCAGATTCAAAAAGGCTCCGGCAACCCCGTAAAGTGGAAGACAGAAGCCAGGTAGGGCCTGGGCCTGGGCTATGCTAAGAGGAGGGCAGGGGAGGAAAAGGGGGAAAATATGGGGAAGGGGCTTGTGCTGCAGGGAGGGGAGGAGAAGGGGAAAAATATGGGGAAGGGGTTTATGCCGAGGGAAGGGGAGGGGAGAAGGTTAGGAGAAGAAGAAAGGGGAAGACACCAAGGGATGGGGTGCAGGAGAGACAAATGCCAGGTGGCCAAGTGCAGACAATGAGGAAAAGGGCAGGAGGGGAGGTGTCAGTGGGAGGGGGGACAGGGTGATGCTGGGAGAGGAGAGGGTAAGGGCATTGGGGGCAAGAGGGAGAGGTACTGGGAGAAGGCTTGAAAGAAGGGGTGGGCATGAGAAAGGCGTGGATGGAGCAAGGCATGTGTGAGGACACAGGGGCATGAGAGGAATGGGGGCAGAAGGTGGTGAGGGGGTGGGTATCAGGGAAAAAGAGGGCAAAGGGGGAGGGACAGTGAGGGAAGGGGGAGGAACCAGGAGGGTGCAGGTGCCAGGGGATTCTGGGGGTGAAGCAGAAGGGCAGACACCTGCAGGGAGGGACCAGCACCAGAGGAGAGAGACGAGGGAGGTGTTAGATGAGGGGATGAAGAGGGGTAGCTCACACGATCAGAGTGGAGCTACTTGAGGAGTGGGCACAGGGGGGAGAGAAGGGCTGGTGGAGGTGGGGCAGGTCTCAGGAAGGCTGAGGGCAGTGAGAAGTGCAGGAGTCAGGATAGCAGAGGAGGGTGAGGGGTTGGGGGGGCAGCAGGCCA